AAGCCTGTTCAGAGCCATGAAATCTACTCACTGGGGAGGTGCTCAACCCAGCTGACAAGCACAATCAACCATGCCTCTGCACGTGTTTTCCTCATAAAGAGGCAAGTGAATGCAGGAGACTGTATGAGCCGGGAAACTCACCAGTCTCCCTCCCTCATTTCCTCCTTTCCCTTTCCCTTTCTCCTTCCCCTTCCCCTGGCCTTTCCCTTTCTTTTTTCTCCTCCCTCCCTCCCTCTGTTCCTCTCACCCTCCCGTTTCAACCTCAATCATCTTTACCCAGTCCAAGAGAAGCTAAGCAACCCAGTGGCCTTTGTCACAACTGTGGGCATAAGAAGCCATTCTGTGTCTAACAACATAAAGTAACATTCTCATGACATCAGCAGTGATTCCACTTTGATTGTTTTTTTTTTTTTTTTGGCGCCAGTTTTGGGGCCTGAACTCAGGCTCAGGCTTGAGCTCTATTACTGAGTTTCTTTTGTTCCAGACTAATGCCCTACCACTTGAGCCACAGCTCCATTTCTGTTATTTATTTATTGTTTTACTAGTTTATTGAATATAAGAGTCTCTCATAGACTTTTCTGCCCAGGCTGGCTTTGAATTGCAATCCTCAGATCTGCCTCTTGAGAAGCTACCATTACAGGCATGAGCCATCAGTACTTGGCTTATCTTTGTCAGTAAGAAACACAAAAGTTTTGCTGAGATACTGAAGGTCTAGATGTGCCAAGTTTGACATGGTATGCAACAGGTGCAGTTAAATACTCTGCCCTGCCAAGCTGATACTCATTGAAATCTTTCTCTGTACCCTCTCATGTTGTCACACATCCACAGTGCCTAGGAGTTTGCTTACTACCTAAAGTAGACAGACATTCACAAATCCTGTGATTTGCTAACCCCCTGTGCCCAGGAAGGCAGGACTGGAACAGACGTGAGACTGTCTTCCTCCATGGACCTCAGAGAAGGTTCCAGGAGTTAGAAGGCAAGAGGGAGATGAGTAAATAAATGGGTATAGAAGATCAGAGGATGTTAACACTAAGAGAGCTCAGAAACTATCAGGACATGTATTTCAGAACCTGATAAATTTCTTCCTGAAATCAGCAAACCAATGTCTTTAAAGTCTATAATTCATTTAAAAAAAAGAATTTATAACACTGATTCCAAAAGCAATTGCAGCGGTGGAGGACAGGAGGGGGATGGGTGACACTGGGGACCTTCCCACTCCTACACCACAGGTCACAACACAGTTTCAAAGTCAGTGATTTAGGTCTCTAAGCCTTCATTTTCCCAGAGGGAAAAATTAAAGTTCCAGAGGATGTAGGAGCTTGACCCAAATCTCAACTTGATTACAAGAAAGTGCAAGAGTATACAGGTCACTGGAACCTCAGGACGGCGCCTGCTCCATCTGTTCATCTAATTTGGACAATTTAAACCTCAAACATTTGAAATTCACAGTACTTGCTTTTCATTTGCCAAATGAAAAGTTCAGCAGAGTGCTCTGAAAGTTAGTATTAGTGGCAGAACTTTTGAGAGCTGTGGAATCCTGTGGTAGCAGGTGTACCTGCCCATGTCCAGAACTCTGCCTTTGATGATTTACTTATTTTTCTCTTGAAGAAAGGCACACCAATAAATTTCAGTGTGCTACTTTCTCATTTTTAAAAGGAAACCATTTACTCAAGAATAAGAGCAGGTGACCATACTGGTATGAACTACAGAGGCTGACACACAGAATTAACAACTACTATAGCTTCCATGGGTATTTCCCAAAGGTCCCTGGTCTCAGGGGTGCAGTTATTTGTTTGCAGTGGGGAACCTTTGAGAGATCAGCAGGAGGTCACTGGGTGACCTTGTAAGGGACTGCAAACCCCAGTCTCCAGTCTTCCTCATAATGTGAACATGTTGTCCAGCACAAACTCCCCACCCCATGCAGCTGTGTGATCTAGGACTGCAACCTCCAGAACCAGGAGCTAAATAAAACTTTATTATAACACAAAGCTGACTATCACAGAGTGTGCCTTGCATTCATATATATTCCATCTTTTGTTGCATTTGAAATGAGTGATGTAAGAGGAAACTGAGTTATAAAGGGATTAAAATAACATTTTAAACAGAATGAGAAAATATTCAAAAGCATTCTAACTGATAGACTGTTAAAAAAATGTTGAGGAGTGAAAGCACTGTATTCTTAAAATTAAGTTTTCTCTCTGAGCAGACAGAATTAAAATCCCTAAGCATCAAGGAGGACTGGTCAGAATGGCAAAAACCATTAGTGCAATGGAAGAAATCTCAGCATAGCCAAAAGATCATATGATTCAGAATCTTGGAGAAAAGGCTTGGCAGCTAAAATCGGAAATATGTTCTTCATCTGGCAATAATAGGCTGCATATATTTGAAATCATTGGCTGATTATAGCGAAGAAACTGTCCAGATTTAGACGGGAAATTCGATGGGGTGGGGGTGCAGTGTACCAATCCTCTTCCAAGTTTCCTTTCACATATTACATTATGGAAGAAATGTTCATCATCCCTAACTCATTATATGTTATAGGCACAATTACATAATATTGCTTTAGAACTCCTTGGAACCTGTTCTTCATTTAAAACTTTTCTTCTCCACCACAATATTCCTTAGGAAAATGGTCTACCCAATGAGAAAAAGCAAGTCATTTTCAATTCAAATAAATTATCTCTAGTCTCTGCTCTAATTTCAGTCTGTAGGACTTTGAACTTTTCTCACAGGAAGCAGTTAGATGGGTAGAGAGCTGTGTGTGTCATTAAAAAGCTAAAAATTTTATATGCAGGTATGTTTCTTATATATTGAGCTATATTCCTGCATATATCCCTGACATGGCAGGGTCAGAAGGTAGGTCTATTTTTAGTTTTTGGAGACCCATCTGTACTGATTCTCACCAAACATGATTGGACAAAGGCAGAAGGCAGAAGGAGAAGTGAAAAGAGAAAGGGGTGGTGGTGATAAAGTTGTTGAATGTACCTAGAATACATAAATGGAACAATGACCCTCCCTCACGATATGATGTGTGCTAATTCAAAATTTTTAGAAATTTAAGAGAGTAATGGTGGTGTGTCTGATCAAAGTACACTGTATCCCTTATGAAAATATCCTAAGGAAGCCTATTACTTGTACAGTTATCCCACACTAATAAAAATAGGTAAAGCAAAACACTAAAATATAAATGAGCAGTTCTGACTAATGTAAGCTCATTAGCAATTTTTGCCATTTGAATTGCTATCTTGCTCTTCTAATGAATATTATGAAGAACATTCTAAAATAAGAATATTATGAATGTATCATGAATACATGTTTTTACTATTTTTATTTTGAATGTGTGTGTGTTTGTGTGTGTGTGTACTGGTCCTGAGGCTTGAACTCAGGCTGAGCACTGTCTCTGAGCTTTTTTCTTTTTTTAAAATTTTTTGCTCAAGGCTAGCATTTGACCACAAGAGTCACAGCTCCACTTGTGGCTTTTTTGGGTAGTTAAGTGGAGATAAGAGTCTCACAGACTTTCTTGCTTGACTTTGAAATGCAATCCTAAGAGCTCAGTCTCCTAAGTAGCTAGCATTACAGGTATGAGCCACCATCATCTGGCAAGAAGGCCATTTTTTTATAAAAATAAGTGTTTAAATATGAAGACAACCCCATGAGGAATAATTCACTCATATTTATAAACAGTGTATTTAACTCAATAGACCATGGAAAAACATATAATTCATTTGTAGTAACCTTTGACTTTCAGTCAGCTTAGTCAAAACTGTTTGGGTTTGGAAACACACATACATCTACAAATAGATCCTGCTAATCTGGTTCAAGAAAATTGAGTAACTCCTAATATTATATATAATGTATACAATATATGTATTATTAGGGGTTACTAACATAATGTGTAATATATCATATACAATACATATATCATATATAATACATATAATATATAACATGTATCATGTTACATATTTTATATATACAGAGATTATAGATATATATTATAGATATGAATTATATATATTTATACATGCACACATTTACAAGATCACAAACTATTACATATATTAATTGCCTATACCACCTGATAGACACTACACAGCAGTAGTTTTCAAATATTCTGGTCTAAAAATAACTTCACCTGCCTACAAATTATTGAGGCCTCCAAATAATATTTTTGAAATATGAATTGTACCTATCAATATGTACTGAGTATGTTGAAAACTCAGAGAGTTGTAAAATATAAATGACTTGGTGAAACATAAATAACAAATCAATGTCATGGTGACAAATTAAATTCTATCACACATTAAAAAAAATTCCTTATTTTTCCCAAAGAAATTTAAGTTCGCTTTCAAAAATTTACTATTAGCTGAAAAGATCAATTCTAATTGGAAATAGTGATACACAACTCTAATCTCAGTACCTGGGAGGCTGAAGCAAGTAGACTGTAAGTTCGAGGCCAGCTCTCATTATATAGTAAAACCCTCTCTCTCTCTCTCTCTCTCTCACACACACACACACACATACATACACACAAAGGTGGATTCTCCTATCTACTCTGCATTCAATCTAATGCATGCCACAAGGCCTGTGGCATCTAGAAAATCCCTCTACAGGGGCTGGGAAGGTGGCTCAGTGGTAGAGCACTTGCCTTGCATGCTTGAGGCCCTGGGTTCAATTCCTCAGCACCCATAAGCAAAAAAAAAAAAAAAAAAGCCGGAAGTGGCGCTGTGGCTCAAGTGGTAGAGTGCTAGCCTTGAGCTGAAGAGCTGAGGGGCAGCGCCCAGGCTCAGAGTTCAGGCCCACGACCGGACCCAAAATAGAAAATCCCTCTACATACAACAGAATGATGGTACAAGGGAAAAGATTATCTTCTTGCTGTGAAAACATGTCAGACCTCAGAGATCCCCTTGACCCCCTCAGTGCCCCTGGAAGACACTTTGAGAATCATTGCTCTAAGAAGCATCTTAAAAGTGCTGTTCCTTCAGCCCCTGTGGACTTACAAGTCTCCATGCCTTCATCATCATCATCTACCACCGGTTTATCATAAGACTTATCAATGGCAGCTCTAAAGCTCTCATTGCAACCTCTTCCTCTGATGATCCGTGGCCGTGGTCGATGGAAAGGAATGTCCCCATTCAGAGTCACTTCAGCAACAGCTGTCTGCAGACTTTCTAATGAGCTTGACTTCTTCAGACCCAGAGAAGGACCCACATCTCTGCTGGGGGAGCCTTAGAGGGTTTACAAAAACAAAAACAAGCATGTTAGAGGTAGGCAGAAATCACGTACCTGAGTATCTATGCTTTGTGGATAACATTGGGGTGATTATTCTTTATCCAATGATGAGGACTTGAATATGGACAGAAAATATATCATGACCATTGTTAACTTTAATTTTCTCCACATTCATTAGATTTTTGTCTATTTCCATTAGAGAAATCTCTAACTGGTTTCCAGTTTTATCTCAACAAAAGAATTTGTATCAAATCATTTTGTTCCAAATAATACGTATGCATATATTATACAATCGAAGAAGCAGAATAATCAAAACTTTCACCTAAAACAGAGCAGTGGTGAGAAGGATAAAAGGTAACCCACCCACATAAGCCTTTCAATGCAACTGAAAGCAGTTCTGGCAGTACCAGGACCATGTAGTAAAAGTTGGACATCCATGTCACTGAACTTTTTTGTCTTACATGGTAACTAAGTCACAGCCCTCCCTAAATAAAAGCAGCTCATGGGGCTTTGCATCACCAATGTAAGCAGGACAACCTGCAGAACCAGGAAGAAGTCATTTTTAGGAAATAAGAATGTTCTATGGAAAGAGTTAGACAAGATCCAAATGGCAACAAAGGACATTAAGGGCTTCCTCCCAGGAGAAGGAAGAGAAGAGGATAAAGGGTTGGACCTAAGTCCTTATGTCTGTAGTCCTGGGAACAACACCTGTTTTAAAAGAACAAAACAAAACCAGGGAGGGACAAAAGAAAGAAGAATGAGCAATTACTAAGGAAATTTCAGCTGGGTGACAGGGAGAAACTCATGGAATTAAAATTTTGGATCTATTTCTGGAAGTTCCAGGGCAGAAATTCTGCCAGACCTAAGATAATACTAAGAGAACCAGGTTGAACAGACAATCAAACCTGATTTCATTAACCAGGTGAGACAGCAGCATCCATCACTACCTGACCCAGCTCTGAAAGGTAGACTAATTCAGCTTCTAAAGGCCAAAATAGCAGCTCTGTCCCACCACCTGGGCAATGCAGGTTTCAGAACTGGTTCTTCGCTTATCCTGTTAGAAAGACAGATGAAATACAAGGGAGCGTGGGAGAAACTAGTTTATCTCTGCATGGGATCATCAGCCCATATGTTGATCAATAATTAGGGAATAGCCTTGTCATGTTATTACCTAGAAGACAAATAGTTGTGACATGGGCTTTCCATAGCTCAGAGTATTTTAAAGAAAGATCAAAATCAAATTCAGACCATTAAAATAGGAATTATGCTTTAAGAATTCATTTAGATCACTTTTTTTTGACCAATTTTCACAATGGGGTAGTCATTTTAGATATGATGAAAATGTAATATAGGCAGAAAGGTAGACATATAATTCTAATGATGAAGGAATAATCCATAAATTATCATGCTGGAAGAAAATGATATATTTTACTTTCTCAATGCAGGTTATTATTTATTTTATGACAAGAGTACATATAAAATATTTCAAACAAGATCAATCTTACTTTTACTCTTCATAGCACTGTAATTTTGACAAGTACATTTTCTAAATTACTCCTAAAAATTCTGTTACAGGAAGGAAAATGAATTTTGTTCCAATGGAGAAACAAATGATAAGATTACAGAATCAGAAAGAAGAGAAAGGATCTGTCCTGTCCTACAATTAGCATTGGAAAGATCTTTTTTTAAAAAAATGATGACTAATTGGCCAGCTGTGTTTGGGTTCTGTAAAACATGTTATTAGGCAAATATTTGGTACTTTCTTGGGTTCACTAGGCTATATCTATATAGCCTATGTGTCCTATATATCCTATGTGTCTGTGTCTCCAATTAAGGTATGTTTACAGAGCTTGCCTAGTAGGCAAAAAGTCCTGAGTTCAAATCCTAGTATCATTAATTATTATTAATAATTCATGCTTTTAGTAGTTACTATACAAATGGTACTAGAAATACCCTTTGCTATATGAAAATTTTATTCATGAAAAGTTAGCTAAGTTTTTACTTACTATACAGAGAGCAATAAAAACATTAATGATGGTCAGGCATCAGTGGCTCATGCCTGTAATCCTAGTTACTCAGTGAAGCTGAGATCTGAGGATCACAGTTTGAAGCCGGCCCAACTAGAAAAGTTGGTGAGACTCTTAGCTCCAAGCCAGAAGTGGCACTATGTCTCAAGTGGAAGAGCGCTAGCACAACAAGCTTCAGGAACAGCACCTAGGCCTTGAGTTTAAGCCTCATGACTGGCAAACAAAAACAAAAAAACATAAAACCAACACAACAACAACAAAAACCTAACTTAATAACGTTTTAAGAAATGGTATGGGTATTATAATGAAATATCCCTCAGTCTAAGCAAAGGCAAATCTGCAAAGAAAACCAATGGCAAATGTATAAGTAAAGAAACAATAAAATTTTTATAACCGGATGAGTGGAATACAGTTATATGGTAGAGCGCTTGCCTAGCAGGCATGATGCCCTGGATTCCATCCCCAGCACACAAAACTATCAGTGCAACTTAAGAGTACTTCCTATCTAACGTTTCTCTCAGCTTGTATATCATTTCAGAAAAAAAAAAAAAAAGTTGACTACTGTTGATGAGAGGTACTAGGACTATAAGAGGTGAATAGACTATATTTATGTTGGTTGAAAATTCCCATAATAACAAATTACACAAAAAGTCAGTCTCTACAATTTGCCAGTTTTATGACAGCGCTCAGCAAACTTAGGGCTTAACCTGGACATTTTTATTGGAACCTACTTGTACCCATTTATTTACATGTCATCTGTGGCTACTTTCATTCGACAACAGTACTAGAGACTATTAAGGCCTACGTGGCCTCAAATGCTATCTGCTTCTTTGCAGAAAGAGGTGTTTGACTTCTGATCTACCACATGGGTAACATAAATTGAGGAATTATGTTTGTCCAAGAAACTTTTAATAAAGTTTTTTGTGTGTTTTGAGTTTGCTGGTATCAGGGCCTCCACCCACTCAGCTTTTTTGTTCATGGCTGACACTCTACTACTTAAGCCACAATTCTAGCTCAACTTTTTTTCTGGTTAATTGGAGATAGAGACCCATGGACTTCTCTACCGGGGCTGGATTTGAACTGTGATCTTCTAGATCCAGGTCTCTCAAGTAGAAAGAAGCATCTAGCTAAGAAAGATTTTAAATGATATATTAAAATTCATGAATGAGGTTATTAACACAAGTCATGTAAACAGGAAGCTATTTTTTCTGTATAAACTATGTATAAGAAACAGAAAATACATTAATAGAAAATATATTAAAATTTTCTTATTTAAAACAATACTTTAAAGGAAACTGGGCTGGGAAGGCGGCTCAGTGGTAGAGCACTTGCCTTGCATGCATGAAGCCCTGGGCTTGATTCCTCAGCACCACATAATCAGAAAAAGCCAGAAGTGGTGCTATGGCTCACGTGGTAGAACGCTAACCTTGAGCTGAAGAGCTGAGGGACAGCACCCACGCCCCAAGTTCAGGCCCCATGATTGACCAAAAAAAAAAGTAAAAAGCAAAAAGCAAAAAAAAGTTTGCTTTTTATATTTTAAGGGTTAGATTACTGTAAAGCATAATTTTCTTGTTATTTCTATTCTCTCTTATAAGCTTATAAACCCAACATCCCTCCAAACATTTAGATTTAGATCCCTAAATCTTGAAAGTAGGGAAATTTTGCTATTTTCCCTACATCTGAATCTTTATTTTTGTGGTACTAAGAGTTAAAACCAAGGACTTGAACATGCAAGGCAATTGTTCTACTACTGACCTAGACCCTTAGCCTTAAATTTGTTTGTTTTTTTATATTTAATACTCCTCCTGCCCAAACTACTTACTCCCCAAAACACAAAATTAGTGAAAGATAAAGGAAAATGAATTTCAATCTTCATCATGAAAGGCATTTAAAAGCACAATAGATGGGCTATATGCTAAAATGCTACTTTGAGTTTACCAAAACCTTTGAACTGTCAAATCATGATGATCTCAAAAATCCATGTGAAGAAGGAAAATAACTGAAAATCTGTTGACTTTCTACTAATGAGTAGAGAGAATCAAGTTTAAATATTTTACTGATGTTATAAAATGAACACACCAAAGGGCTATTTGGTGTCCACCTTATAATTTTTAATCTAATGATTTCCCAATATAGTAGGATAAATTAGTTTGCTGCAAAGTATCTTTCTTTCAAATTGAGGAACTAACATTTTATTACAGCTTATAAAATTTGTGTCTTCACCAGGAAATGCTTTCATGTAAAATGTGGAGTCATTATCTTTTAAACAAAACTAAATTCTTCTTTTCTTTGTGGTATCTTTGAGCTAGTTAAAATGTCATTCTATTTTTACCTAGCTGATATGATCCACAGTCAATTCTGAAAATCTAAGTGGTTCAGGTTGATTTTTAGGAACATTGAGTCAGAAGTTGGGTCTTCAAAAGTACTATATAGTATAACTACAAAAAAAAATCCTTATTTTACATATCTGAACTATCAAGTTATGTGTTTATACAGCCATGATTCTGATTCCAATGAATCTTACATTTGAGAAGAAAAATAGCTACTTAGGAATAGCTGAGGATATAGTTAATTGCCTGACAAGACAAGCTACCTTTTATTCTGTTTTGTTTTTTGGTTTTTTTTGGGTCCGGTTGTGGGGCCTGAACTCTGGGCCTGGGCGCTGTCCCTCAGCTCTTCCGCTCAAGGCTAGCCTAGCTCTACCACTTGAGTCACAGCGCCACTTCCGGCTTTTTTCTTCTTGCTTATGTGGTGCTGAGGAATTGAACCCAGGGCCTCATGCATACAAGGCAAGCACTCTACCACTGAGCCACCTTCCCAGCCCTACCTTTTATTCTACAGAAAATGATAACTTGAAATATCCTCAGCATAATCATTACATTGTATACAGGACACATACACATTTTTCAACCAGGCTAAAGCTACTACAACTGCAGGTTAAAAAGTTGGACTATAGCTAGTTAGTACCAAGTGATATAAGTACATTATCCTAGATCTAGAATTATTAAAACAAGATTCAGAATTTAAAATAATTCATGCACAAAACAGCATAAAATCTAAGTATCAAACTATACTGAAAGATTTTCCTCTGCCTAGGCAGCTAGGAAGCAAGAAGGTTGTGAGACTGAGGACTAGATGGACTGACCATCCTCAATGAGACTATTTTGGGGTGGTGGGAAAGGAGTTCCTCTTATTATTTTCATGTAAAAACACAAAATGTAAACTCTACCATAATGTTAAACCCAGTTCAATGCAATCCATTATTTCTATGGAATGATTTAGCAATGATTTAGAAGCAAAGGAATTTAGAACAGGTTCACAAAGCTAATGGAGCCATTTACATTCAATAGTCTAATCCAATGTCAGGTTTAATTATAAACTAGTTCTTGCATGAGGAAAAGAACCAAGGAATGATTTATGATAACAATATTGGACACTCAACTTTAGCAATATTATCTTTCAAACCAGTCATTACCTTGAGAACTGGGTGTAATCTAGACATCACATTAATGATTTTAAAACTTAACAGTATTATGTTTTCAGAATTTAAAACTAACTGGATCAGGTTTTTCAGAATTTTTATGTTTTACAAATTATGAGCAATCATTCTTACATAAATATAGTCTGAAAAATCTGTTTTTAACATTTTAATATAATATTTCAATTAAATAGGCACACCACTGATAAATTCTAACAGAAAGAAAAACCTTACACAATTTGATTTCCCACAATGGAAACATCTGTGCAAGACTGGAATACTTATGTTGACATGCATTATGATTGGCAGCTTTGCAATTGTGATAAGCTCCTTGGACCATGGTTTCCATGGCAACAGTCTAACAATCCATTCTTACCTGCTTTCTGGTCATCCACTGTACTGAGTTTACGCTCGTCAGCTACTGTTAAAAGGTAAATGTATAATGGTTAGCCCAGTTAGTCCCCTCAGCCCAACATGCTTCAATCATTCCAAGATCTTTACAGTTAGGTGACAATTCTTAGATAATATTTCATGCACATAGTATGTAACATCAAGCAAACATCCATAATCAAAAATAAAAGGAGAATATAAGCATTATCTCCATGCAACTTGCCAGTCGATTCATTTACAGATACGTGTGTTATTCATATGTTAGCATATCATAATTAGCCAAGGCATCACCAAATTTTTCTTATATGCATATGATAAATTAATGCTTTTAGTCTGGAAGTTACAAACAGCCACCAGAGAACAGCGTTAAATTACAACAGATTAACAAAAAGTTCTTTAAAAAAATCATTCAGTTTCTGTATATAATTATTTTACTTTTTTGGCTGATTTACACTTAGAGAATGACACTACCTGATTGGTGTCTGATTGAGCAACTATGGTTATTTTCCTCCTCTTGCTTGGTTTCAAATACATTCTACAATAAATTTTCTCTCAAATTATTAATTTGATTAAATGTCTTCATTATCAAAATACAAGAGAATCTATCAAGTAAACCTCAGAGTTATTAAAGAAAGGAAGATAGCATGACATAACAAAATTCTATACATGGATTGAGATAATGGTTTCTCTCCAAAGCTTTGTCTTCTAGTTCAAAAATGCCACAATAAGCCAAATATATTTCTAATGAAATTGCTTTTCAGTAGCCAGTGTTAAAATATTTCTGATTCTTTAAGATAAAGATACATGAATATAGCATGATATGCACATGTGTTTGTTTCCTTTCTCATAAGAACACATATATCAACATATTGTATATTATGTAAACATGCCATTTATGAGTACTACAGTTATCTCAAACACACAGAATAACTAATTTTTGCCAAATTTTCATATTTCACATTTTTATTTTCTCTATTGCACAAAATAAACAGACATGTGTTTAGGGCCATCAATTCTATCCTGAAAGCATCAAAACCTTATTTAGATAAACATTCATGGAGATTGTACTCACTACCTAAATCCATGCTTTTTGATTTTCGCGTTTTAACGAAATCCAATTGACTGGCATCTGAAAATTGCTTTGTGCGTTTTTCTGACATACTCTGCCGTCCAAATCCTTCCCGTTGAAAAGCAAGTACTGGATCAACATCTGGACTCAAAGAGCTGGTATAAAGAGAACGATAAGCACAGAAGTATTTATTAAAAATAGAAAACATACACTTTTTTGTACAAAATTTTTATATATGTGTATGTGTGAATATCCTCAAAAAATTAAACTAAGAACAAAAATAAAGATCACTTTGAAATGCACAGTGCCCGAATGGAAGGTAATGGAAAAATAGATACTTAATTAAACATTGGAATTAAAAATGTGTCCGTTTTCTCCTCCTCTGCTTCCTGTTCTGTTTCATCACTATGTTTGACCATATATCATTATTTTTCAGTGATTATTAAAAATGAGCCCAATCCTTGGAAGACATTGGAAAGATGGATAATGTGAAGAAACCTGGCTAATTTTATATATGAGACAGTGTAAATTACATTGGAATATTAGTTTCAAAAAGCCTGTGTTCTGGCCCTCTTTATATGTCTACCTTGTGTTTCAGAAAAGGAAAGAGAAGAAAAAATATCTTCATGAAGATGCAATATGCTAATCAACTGAGAACCCAATTCAATGATGTTCCAACAGAGTCTATTCTGATTAAGCTATCCTGCTGAATAGTGCAAAGTCCAAACAATAAATAAGAAAGATCCTATGTTCTACAAATTCCTAAGGAAATTCTAAACTGGATATATGAACAGATGCCGTGGCTCCAACAGATGAGAGGATCGACAGTATATGCGGGTGTCAGGAGAAGCTCACTAAGTTTAGATGATATTTGATTCAGGTTACACCAACACAGTGGCTCAAGTAGGGAAGAGGAGGAAGCATATGGCACTCAATTGGGAACAGGATACATTCCAAAATGATTTTCCAAAGGAAATGGCTAGAGCTGATGCAGAATTGCTGTTATTTGTGAAAATTTGTGATCAGTTTAAAAAGCACGACCAGGTCTTCTGAGCACAGTTGATACTAGGAATTTTTTTTTTCTGTGTGTTGGATATCAGCTATCCTTTGTTGGGTCCAGATACCTTGTCTATCTGGCCAGGCAGAAGAACATCTCTCCGTGACCAATTGAATGTATTGACAATAAGGGGGCTAATTCTGATAAGAAAGCCGGATTTACAACAGATTTCAATGTTTCTGATGAATTCAAGGCCTTATGCAAATTAACACTCATATTACAAAATCTATAATGAACTAGTTGAGATACACAATAGAAATCCAGCTGCAATTTCTTGTGCATGAAAGTTGGCCAAAAGTTGAGAAAATACCAAGAGAAAATCTCTGCCAGTAGGTTTTTGAGCGGCATTCACAAAGAGAATCACCTCATTTTTCAAGGCCAATGAAATAATTCAAGGAAGTAAAGGGAAAGCCCTTTTGCAAATAGTAAACTATTAAACAAAGGAATTATTATTATGCAATGAAGATTTCCTATTAAATGGTCAAAGTAATATTAATTATGAGGATCTTAAAAATCACATAAAGGGAATTTTAACCCTTTTGTAATACTACTTAAAAAAAGAGAAAAAATGAACAAGCTTGGTACTGGTGACCCATACCTATAATCCTAGTAACTCAGGAGGCTGAGATCCCAGGACCATGGCTAGAATCCAGCCAGGGTAGGAAAGTCTTTGATATTCTTATCTCTAATTAGCCACAAAAAGCCAAAAGTAATACAATGCTAGAAAAAGCTCAGGAAGTTCAAGGGCCGGGACTGGGACATATGTGCGCGCACATGAACACACAATCATAAAGGCCACCTAAAGGACAAACCTCAATCTTTTCCACCAAATTCATGCCAGCCGAGATTGAAGGAAACCTAGCCAGTGAGTATGTCCCAGAATTTAAGAAAGCATTCACTCTTTAAGTTAAATACGAACAGGGTCGAGATCAACAATGAACCTGCCCTTACATGGATGGGTCAGGATCCACACAATAAAAGATAAATCTCACAGAGAGCAGGAGTCTATCCAAGCCCCAAATAATTTTGTTTTATGTTTGTGGTAATACATGACATCATATATTAATAAATGTCATTGTCTATAACTTCTGTACATTACCTTTATAACAATAAAAAGTTTTTTAAGAAGAAAAAGGAAAAAAAGCAGTATCGTATTTCTCTTCCAAAACTTGCAATAAATGTTCTGCTCCAAGAAGTAGGGTCTTATCTAACCTGAAGTCTTCACATACGGCCACATATGTAAGGCTAAGATATGGGTGGTTGATAAATTAGGGGTGAGGATGTAGCTGAGTGGTAAAGTGATTACCTAGCATGCTCAAGGCCTAGCTTTGATCTCTGACATAATTTTACAAGTGGAAAATTAAAAGTAACAATACTATTTCTTTTATATGTTGAAAGCAGATCTCCAATCATTTCATGCATGCTTATCAACCAGTATATCCTTTTTCCTTCCCTTCATTTCCTTTTCCCTTCCCTTGCCCCTTCCTTTCTTTTCACTTACTCTCTGCTTGCTTATTTGCTTGCCTGCCTGCCTGCCCTTCCTTCCTTCCTTCCTTCCTTCCTCTCTTCCTTCCTTCCTTTTTTCTTTCTTTCTTTCTTTCTTTCTTTCTTTCTTTCTTTCTTTCTTTCTTTCTTTCTTTCTTTCTCTCTTTCTTGTAGAACATTTTAAAACACAAACTCAGTCTGCATGTATGAAACTAAAACAATGAAACATGTTGAAATGGTCTTTGGAAGAGGGAGGGGGGAAGCAGCAGAGAGAGTGACAGACCAAGTAACATGTAATGGAAAACATTGTATACATGATCAAAATGCCACAATGAAACCACCTATGTAAACTAGTATGTGATGATAATGAGGAGGAGGAGGAGGAGGAGGAGGAGGAAGAGGAAGAGGAAGAAGAGGAAGAAGAAGAGGAGGAAGAAGAGGAGGAAGAAGAAGAGGAAGAAGAAGAGGAAGAAGAAAAAGGCATCAACTTCATACTTGAAGACAGAATGAACTTGAAATTCAGTTTAAGCACAATTTTTTGGCAAAATATTTTCAAAGAAATTTCAAAGAAATCATCACTGCCAAAATTGTCATTTAGCATATTTTCAAAATCATTTTATATGCTCTGAAATTAAGTTGTCATTAAAAGTAAAATGTGCTAGCTGGGCTCCAGTGGCTCATGCCTGTAATCCTTGATATTCTGTAGGCTGAGATCTGAGGATCTTAGTTTATAGCCAGCTTAGGCAGTATGAGTCTCTTATCCAATTAATCAGAAAAAAGATTAAGTTGTTCAAGTGGTAGCGCAACAGCCTTGAGAGGAATAATCTAAGGGATAGCACCCAGGACCTGAGTTCACATGCCATATTTGGCAGACATACACAAAAATTAGAATGCGCTGTAATTCCCCTTCCTTAAAAACATTGTTAATGTTCTCTAAATCAGTTAATTGAAAAAATACATATTCTATTCATTAACAAATTAGAAACATAGCCATTTGACATATTTAGCCTTCCACAATTATGCACTGAACTATAAACATACACAATTTAAAATGTCAAATGAGCTTGTGAGTTAATAAGTCTTAAAATAACTAAATATTCTTAAACCATGACATAATTAATTCTTCCTTATTAATAAACCCATTAAACCAATTTCAGATACAATAAACAGTGTACCAGCATATTTAACAAGTTAGGCTGCAGGACTGACAGATGATTCTTTAGAGAATGTAACCACATCCTGACCTCCAATGTTATTAAAAATTCCACTTATTAATCCTGTCTTATTGCCCTTCTGTTTTCCTAACATTTTCATCAAAGATTAGGGAGATATTGTCAGCGTGGAAAAGCTTACATTTTCTGCTGTGATGCAGAACAGCTGCCATTCTTGTTTGGATAACCCTTCATTCATATTCTTTCCTTTGCCCCATACTCCCCACAGTAAAATTGTTCAAGTCCCCATCATTTTTGTGCAAATCCTCCTTAGGGAAATTAATGCCACAATCTATCTCTAAGCGTTATTTACTTCTTTTCACCAAGAGGGCCCCAAACAGATCTGTTCTCATGACCACACCTCCAAGGTTTCTCAACGTGGTGGAGATTCAAAGAATTTGGTCCCTGAGATGAATACTACAGAGGTCTAACTAAACCTTACTTCCTCCATTGCTGCTCTCCCTTTCAGAAAGGGACACAAACTGGAGCGATGTAACAGCTTCTGCTTATTTTAAGTAGAATTTTACTATATATTATGGTTCCCTTCTAAGCTTAACCAAAAAACTCATTCAGTGCTAAGCTATTATGTATGGTGCAGGCTTGAGCAAAGCTCTATTTTTATACCCCACATTTTCAAAGGGAGAATTTTAAAAGAAAGAAAAGCTAGACGCCAAGATTTCAAAGGCCTAAATTACAGGTGAAGTTATTTCCAGAACATCTGCAGAATTAACAAATAAATATACTGCATTTTTTATGAGCTTTAACAGGTGTTTGAGACAGGAGTAGGGGTGTATAATATATTTTGTTAAAAGCAGTTTTGAAATGTTAATACAAATAAATGTGAATCAGCTAGACACATTTAATCTAATATTTAATGTTGACCCAAGTCATGTTCCTTTACTAGTAACCACTTAATAACCTCCTACTAAAGAGTAAGAAGTTACTAAAGAGCAAGAGGTTATTAAGTGGTTAGTAGTAAAGGAACACTGCCAAAAGTAGTTTTGCTAATGTGCTCAGCAAAGATCCCACAGAAGGGACAAGAAGCAAATCTGGTTTAATAATCTTTCAACCTAAGAGGTCATCCCTACAGGAGAGTCCCTTTTTGCTCACTGATACTTAGTAGACATGTATAATATGGTACATAGATACACCTGAGTCACACCTTGGCTCAATAATATCAAAGGCTTTCTTCTACATTGAAAGACACCGGGTAAAAAATTGCACAAAACTGTCCCCAAACTCATCATGCTTGAACCTAGTACAAAGTATTTTAAAGAATATAATTATGCTAGGCACCAGGAGTGCAAACTTATAATCCTAGCTGAGGATCATGGTTAAGCCAGACCAGGTAGCAAAGTCCATGAGTCTGATATCTAATTAGCAAAAAGCCAGAGGTGGAGGTTTGGCTCAAGTGTTAGAGTGCCAATCTTGAGTGAAAAATAAAAGACAGCTCTCAGGCACTGAGTTCAAGCCCCACTACTGGAACATGCATACACAGACAGACATACACACAGACATACAGACACAGACACACAGACACAGACAGACAGACAGACAGCAAGACAGACAAACACACACACACACACACACACACACAAAAACAAAGTAAAACCCAGGTAATAGTTAAAACTCTTTCCTCCCATTTCCAGAACACATAATTGCTTTCATCTGATTGATTCAACAAACTTAGTGATTTGCTTACAATCAATTTAATAGAAAAACAATCATTAAATTAAAACTAATTTAAAAATAAATGTAAAATAAAGAATGAGTTGTGTTGTCTGAGGTAGTACTTGTTTTGCTGTTGCATCGCATTTGAAAGCTAATACAACTGAACAAGTTCACAGGGCAGAGGGATAACAGTTTTTTATGAAGAGTAATAATTAAGAGTATCAAAAATCATGAAGGAATTCATTCACTGTGTTCAGTTACCAGCCACACAAACATAAACAGTGAATGAAATAGACTAATGTTTCTGAAGCCAGAATGATCCACTCACCAGTCAGCAGACTCAGTGACTGCAGCCTTGGCCCATGGACCAGCCTCTGAGGTCACAAACCCCACATCATCATGGGAGCTGGAGGATGACTGGTCTGAGAGATGTGGAGGCAGCACAGGCAGCCTGTCGTCTTCTATAATGACAGTATCATCCTGGGGCATATTCACAGTGGGGGACAGCTGGTATTTTCCTGCCAGATGCAAAAGGAAAAAGCAGTTCTAGACAACAATCTAAGTGCAATACCTATGAATATTAATAACCTCCATAATCAGGAAAAGCCTCAACTTCCACATAGCTACAGAGCAAAAGAGAATCTAGCACATTCATTTTTCATAAATGATTGTCAGACCAGAGACCTCCAGTCTGTAACTACCTCTGTCATGGTGGTGAAACAACTCAGACGTGATTTTACTGGTTTGCTTGCTTTTGCAGCCTAAACTGATCATCAAAATGCTCTGAAGGTGAACATGCTAAACCAATTCTAAGGTGAGAAAGTCTTTGAAAAATTTTAGCAAGAAATTTAGAGTGAAGCCTCATTAACTTAAGGCAATCATTCATCCATTCACTCATCAGACAGCTACAGCATACCAGGCAAGTACTTTGCCCTTGGGGAGCTCATCCCCATCAAGAGGGAGGAAAAGACACACACAAACGGCATGGTGGTATAAGCGCTGTGCAGAGGTGCTGTGGCATTCACCTGGGCTGAGTCAGTATGATTGACATCTACATGCACAACCTTTCTTGAGAAAACTGTATTTAAACGTGTTAAACTCCAAAAGATGATTTTAGAAGCAAAATCATTCATCTTTCCCCTTGACCATCCACAGTTCTTGCAGCTTCCTCACTAAATTTTGAATACTTTTACTGAGCAGGATGGACAAGGTTCATGTAGATAAACTTGGATGAGGCCATCTCCCAGAAACATCACCAAGGTCACAAGACATGGACCATCAGTCTAGGCTTCCTCCCAAAACAAGGAACATGGACAATTTCCCTGGCCACCTCACAAGAGGACAAGCAACCTTTCCTCTTTATTCAGATTTCCAAACCATTAAATCAGCTGTGGCAAATCCTTCCCAAACAAAATTTCCACTTTGCTTTCCTAATATCTACCACAATTTTGTACACGGGGGCACTTCTCATTTATTATTAATTTATTTTTTTAAACTGCACACAGAATTGGTTAACTATTTAACATTAGTCTTGAATACAAACTTACAAGAAAATAATAAGAATGATGAGTGTGTCATATTCTTAATACTTTTTAATTACAGTATTTACTTTTGTAGACAGTTCTGCAAAGAAACAAATTATTTTAGTTGCTGTTTATCTTCACAGGGTGGCCCACAAAAGTAAACTTTCTGGAAATCTCAAATGCATTAATATCTTAGGATTGACTATGCTGTTACAGCAACCTACACGTTCACTGAAACTTTCATGCAGCCTCTTGGCAAGAAAAACTTTCTTCTTTGATTTCAAATGCATCATCTTGACAAAATAAAACTGGCCACTTTATATGCATGCTCATGATACAGATGCAAATCAAGTCTAACACACAATCATTTCCCTTTCCTGATTTGAAATCACTCATTTCTTTCTGCTCAAATTTTAGGGTATTAATATAGAAATCTGCTCACCACAATATCATTCAAAAATCAGGCAGGACACATATACCCACACTATTAGCCAGAGAGAGGTTTCCTTCTAGTATAAACTAGTATAAACCACAGTGATCCCTTAACAGGCAGTGTACACTAACATGGCATGTGTGACACTGCTAAATATCAGTCGAACTCAAGAATATTGTATTTGAGAAAAGATCACAGAGAAAACAAAGCATACACATTCATACACACAAAATCTGAAACTTTTACATTCAGACAATATGGAATACTGATTGTTTCATATGATAATCTTTTATTGTAGTATGTTATGAGTAGAAAGATACCTTAAATGATGTATATGTACATATGTGTTTATAGCATGCATATATTTATAAATGGCAAGAAGTCTCTCTAGCCTAAAGCCAATAATTTAGCATTTTTCTCTTACCCATTCTAGGGACTAATATTTCACCAAATTTGATTACTTATATACTCCCCATCAGTTTCATATTACTTAGCTAGTTTACCAAGAGTTACTTTAAATGAACAACTAAACTACCTAGCTACACATTCCACTAAGCTCCATGAAGATGAAACTATACTCCTTTCTAATATTTGGTACATCCTAACTATGAAACCTTCAAGACGGCATCTATCCATTTTTGATGGATAGATTCTCCTTTTTCCTCAGTTAGTTAATCAACATAGTAAAGTAGATAAATAGTAAACCAGTTACTATTTTGCAAAGAAGGGAAACAATGACATACAAAACAATTGTTTACTAAACATTTATTCATTACTAATTTACACAGAATGCAACATCACTCATGATACTGGAAATAACTGAAATGAGGAAATCTGTGCCAGTGAGATGACTTGGAACAAAACAGCACAATGTCTCATTTTCTATGTCAAATGTCTAACAAGATGAAAATACTCTGAACAGAATTATTAAACTCACCACAAATTTATGTACATAGAAACACCGAGATAAATTCTAAAATGAATACAACAGATTACCTGCTTGCTTTAAACAAAATTGTTCAGATAAAGCTAGAAAACAATTAAGGTTCTGTGTTACCAAATATCAACATGGGATGTATTTTATGAGTTAACATGCTGGTTAAATTAGCTATGCCTAGTATTCTGCTGCCTTTATTACTTAAAAAAGCCCAACAAATGGAAATGTTCAAAGATGATCCAATGTGAGCTCACTACCAGTGACTTTTTTATGAATAAATTTAAATCTATTACAATAGAAATGGTCAAAGCTGATGAACTTTGGAGAAGACTTGTTTTGGTTACAATTCACAGCTACAGAGGTAAGCCATGTGTGATGTTTGTAGGACCCAGAAAACCATGCATTCACATAGTGGTCACTTCATCTACATCCACACTGCATTTCTTTGGTTCCTAATTCCACTAAGTAGAAGATGAGTAGGATACAACATGTTACTTCACTGGTAATTTCTAAGGCAAACCTTTTCTTGTCAGCAATGTTGCTGGAATGGAATAAGTTCTGGAGACCATTCAATGCCTTGGCTTACAGAATGGACACTTGTAAATTGATCTGAATAAAGAACAAATGCCTTGAATGTCACTCATGGTTACTGTGTGGTCTTGACATTCCCCAGAGAGGGATAGTTTTAGAAAGAGGAAACAACCAAAAACAAAATAGAACAAAAATCATCATGGGACTTGAAACTTAGTTCTTTTATCTGATAAGTGAGAAAGTGTGTGACTGATGACATCTGACATCCTTCCAAGAGAAAGTCCATTCCTATTTTTAGTGCATTTTTTAGAGGCCTCTCTCCTAGAATGTGTTCCCATTAGAAAAAGATCACAAGTCTTCAGAAGTTTCTTTGGTTTAGAGCATTAATTTTGCAGGGGGAGTCTATGTGAGAATGTTCCCTGTTTACATGTAACTAATTGATATGTAAGATACTTACTCCGAATTTCAATACAAAGCTCTCTATACTATATCAGATCATGCAGTAACTAAATACCACCACAGCCATAACTGTGATTTTAATGGTATAGAGGACAACCATAAATTAACCAACTAGAACCTGGGAAATTTCCATGCAGCCCTATAATATGTAAATTAAAAAACTATTGCAATTAGTGCAAGCTAATGTAAATTCAGTGTTTTCATTTTATATTTGGTACTGTGTTTTGGTGCTTTGCAAGGTAACATCTTTTATATTGTTTTTGTTCTAACTTTAGAGGTTATCTAACCTTAGAAATAGGTCAACAATGAGTAAGGACTGACCAAAATTAAATAATTCCCACATTTTCAAACTGCAAAATAAATCAAATTAAGTATATACATATCTCAAAGTAAAAGTATATAGAATCATTGTAACTCCCTTGTACAACCATTTAAAGTTAAAACATAAAACTATTTTAAAGAAAGCTATATAGGATCTCTAGTTTACAGTATAATATGTAAAAAAAAACTCTTAAGAAAATATGCAAATCCTAGAGTGTCTATTTGGCCTATCATCAAACTATGAAACTGATACCCCCCTGAGCCCACTTGGAAAAAGGACATGCACAGAACATCAGGAAGCACAGAACTGGGGAGGGAAGGTCATAAGATAAGGAGGCATCTGGAGTATTAAAGTTCATTATATATACCTAGCAGAAGGAAAGGGTAACAACAATGCCAACCACAACCCAGGGCAAAAAGGACTAACAAAGTCATAGCTAACAAAATAGGGTCAACAGACTACAGAGAAAGTGAAGGACCCCTCAACCATGTATAGAATTTCAGTAAGTCACTAGGTAAAAAACTGGGGGTGGGTGTGGGGCTTGTTTGTTTTCTAGTTTTAGGTTTTCGCCTTCCTTTGAAGCATCAGGGATTGGAGGCAGGATGCAGGTTACAGGAACTGGTGGACCAATAGTCTCTTTCAGTATGGCAAATCCTATGTTCCTATAATAAAGGGGAAATTACAGCGGATCACTTTGTATGCACACAGATCCAGGGACACACACACACACACACTTTATCTTTCTCAAGGGGTCTAAAATTCCATCAATAGAAAAGAATTCAACAGTCTTTCACCAGTCAAGAAAGAATGGAAATTTCACAGCAGTGAAGCCACTGATACTTAACAAGCAATGATTAAATGGATACCTAACTGCTGTTCAAACGAATAGGTATAATATCATTCTCTAATGGTGTATGCCAAGCAAGTAAAAATAAACATGTGAACAGGGTGGATCCGGGGCTAGTATGTCTAAATTCTACATGTAACAAAATAAGAAAAGAAAAATTCAGCAATTTTTTTCAAGTGAGAATAGGAAGGATTTGAGGGAAGAACAGTAGACAATTCTGTAAGTTGTGTTGATGTGTTTTTCTTCCTTTTATGCCCACTATACAGTTCTTTGAAGCTAGACACTGTTCCTTATTCGTCTTTGTATCTATAGCAATCAATCTCTTGCCAGTGCAGGATTTCCATAAACATCCACTGATGAATTAAACAAGTTCTTGTTTCAAAGAAGCTCCATGATAGAAACTTGAATTATATTAAATGTATTCAAAATGGATTTAAATTTAGGGTTTTACTTTAAATTAGAGCCTAGCAAAAATAGACCAGTAATACAAGGGTTTTATGTCAGGTGTTATTTTAATCAAAACTGCCTCTTATGTTTTAAATTTGAAAATTCTCACAAAGTAATCCTAAGATGAGCAATTCTGTAATCTAACCACTCCAGTGGCAAAGCAGGTCTTTACTGACTGGATCTGTTAGGAGAAAGCTGAACTGCAACAGAGCAAGGCTAATCACCTCATTACCCACTGGGGCCACGCAGGCAGCAGGCAGCTGAATCCAGACAAAGGATGCCGAAGACTATGTCCAACATTTTAAGACTAAAGCTTTGAGGAAGTCTAATACAATTAAAATGTATTCTTTATCTACTAAGTCCAGCCAACTGACTGTGAATATTTCATTTGGATGCATATCTAGATGCATATGTGTTTCCTTTCCTCTTTCTTCTCCTCTAAGCAGTGCTATTGTGACTGACAATAAAACTTCTGAAATCTCCTTGTTATCATCGTTACCTTTTTGGTATGTTGATACTGGGGCTTGAACTCAGGGCCCTTAGCTTTTTTGCTCAAGGTTGGCACTTTACCACTTGAGCCACAACTCCATTTTGTGCGTGCGTGCGTGCGTGCGTGCGTGTGTGTGTGTGTGTTTGTGCGTGCGTGCATGCATGCGTGCATGTGTGTGTGTGTGTGTGTGTGTATGTTGGTACTGGGGCTTGAATTCAGGGCATTGTCTTTGAGTTTGTATGCTCAAGGCTGGCAACTCTACCACTCCGTTTTTGAGTTTTTGATGATTAATTGGAACTATGAATCTCATGGACTTTCTACCAGGGCTGATTTCAAATTTCTCAGATCTCAGCCTCCTGAGTAGTTAGGATTACAGACATGGCCACCAATATCCAGATATAAACATATTTGATTGATCTTAAAACAAACCTTCACTTACTATCTCCAACAAATTAAGAGTACGTTCCTGGCAGGGAAACATTTCTTTGCCATCCTTTTCTTTTTGCTCTTCCCTCATGTTAAGGGATCTAAAACTCACTTAACAAATCAATGTATTGATTTATTCTTTCTACATTAACATTTCCTGAATGACTGCAGTGAAGCTGTTCTTTTTCCTCTTGGTAATACAGAACGCTTTCATATTAATATTACATTAATAACCTCTCAGTGAACCAGAGAAAGCACAAACAAGATGGGAGGAGAGGTGTGACCTGACTTACCCATTATCCTACTGAGGGCAGCATTTCTCGTGGGTGATTCGTCGAGCCCCTCAATCCCACCATAGAGGGAATGGGAGATTCTTCGCTCTCTATCATCCAGCACTGTTTCAATGGGCAGCTCAGGTCCAGGGGGGCTCCCAGGTGACTTTAGCTAGAGAAAAGAGGGATTGGAAAGGAAAATCAGTACTAGAGGCCCATGAGCAGCATGGGGGAATTATAACAACTTGCCCAAAGCCTGCATCCAACTGGGTACCAAATGAACTAGAACTTTTCACCCTGTACCAAAATAATTTGTGATGACAGCTATGCCTAATGACCAACTTTCTGTACCACTTTACACTAGACCCCCCATGAAGTTCTGTCAGATTTCAACCCGTGTAGGAAAATATGTATATTAAAAGCTTTTTTTTAGTCTCATCTTGTTGCTTATTTTTTCCAATTTGTTAGTATCTGTTGAAGTCAATTTAAGTTATGTTTAACTCAGAATTCTTTATTAGATGCTACTCTGTAGAAGTCATGCTTCTTGAAAATAAATGCTGGGCTTCATTCAGCTACAGCTTTTATACCTACAGGATATAACTGTACCTAACTGCACAGATTTGTATGTGTGCTAGTGGAATTATTGTCTCCTCCAGCTGTCAGATCCAAGTGCCTTCAACAAAACACTGAAACTCAATTTCTTCTGATAGAAATGAACAATAACCAGACTATCATCTTATTGTAATCTTTAAATATGAGGTTGTAAGTAACTAAACACTTTAAGATTATACAAAAGGGTTGGGTGTGCTGGTATACATCTGTAATCCCAGCTAAAGTTAGAAAGTTAGATAGGAGGATTTTGACCCAGGTCCTTGTTGGCAAAAACTCAAGACCTCAAGCAAAATGTAACAGGGCTGGAGATGTGGTTTATCAAGAGGCAAAGTGCTTTCTGAGCAAGCATGAGTCCCTGAATTCAAAGCCCGGTACTGCCAAAGCAGCCAGCATATAGCTCATATTTGTATTCTGATCTACTTGGAAATCCAAGGGGATTACTGTTAGGAGCCAGACCAGTCAGAAAAGTCTGGTGGCCTTCACTTCTAAAAATAACCAACATAAAGCAGGTAAGAGGCATGGCTCAAGTACTAAAGTGTCAGACAAACAAGTGAGTAATATGTGAGTCTGAGTTCAAATTCCAGCATTACAAAAAAGAATATAAAAGCCTGGACTGAGAGTTTTAATGAAGCACATATATGAATATTTAGCAATCTTGTACAACCTAACATATAAGAAAAAATGTGTCAATTTCTATGATTATGAATCAAAGCAGCACATGCATTCCTTAAAACAGCTGTGTTTAACCAATCAAATTTTTCCCAAAACTACTTGGAAGAAGACATAAATGCTAGTGAAGCCTTGCAACATTTCTGCTTCCAGGGCAAACAGTATACTTGACTTTCACATTGGTGGTGTGACTCTGAGCACAACCTCTACACGGATTAGCTCCTCAGGAGGCCTTATGCCCACCGGGACTAGCCTGAATCAGAGGCTAAGCATGCCTGAGAAATGGGCTAGCCTGCATAGGTGCAGGGCTCAGCTCAGTTGGATAGGAAAAGCTTGTACTCTCTAAACACAGGAAACTCAAACTTCCAAGGTTCATTCCACTGCACAAATGATTACTTCTATTAGAAGCCATCATGTGTTTCCTATAAATGAAATATTTAATGAAGTTCTGAATTGGAGACTTATCTCTCCCAGTTTGATAAGCACTGGGGAGAGTTAATGCTTCGAAGGGTCAACACAATTACAATTGGAGGCACGTCAAACTGCAGGAGAATAATAAACTTGCAGCACTGGTGAATTGGACTCAATAAGGTTTAAATTGTGAAATGAGGATTTGTTTTATTAGCTTTTTAATTGCAGATTACAACTGACAGCTTTACTGAAAAGTAAATTAAATATTCAAGTTCTGTAATATAAAAATAAATAAATAAAAGAACATTTTCTGAATGAATATAATGCAAAAATCCCAAGATACTCTTGGGAAGGTAAAACCAACAGCAAAATAAAACTCCTGTCTTCCACCTTTAAGAATAAACATATTTTTTTTTAAATAACAAAACTGTGAGTTTCTAGGGCTGTGTAACTCAGTAGTAAATCACTTGCCTAGATGCTCAAGGTTCTATGGCCAGTACCTCAAGAAAAATAAAAAATATAAAATTTTAAATAAGCATACATATTAAAAAACACCTAGTGTATAAGTATTAGACATGTCTTGTTTGATGTTAAAATATTTAATCAGAAGACAAATAAGTTTGCCTAATAATCTAGGTGTAATGGCTCAAGTCTATAAAACTAGCTCTTTGGGTGACGGAGGTGCTAGATCAAACTGGGGTTTAAAGACACAGAGTCTCCATAAATGACCCTGTATTAATCCATGGTTAGGCACAGTGTTTGTGCTCCTGTCATCCCAAGCTGGGAAAAAAGAAAATGGCTGGGTGCAGCAGTGCATGCCGGTCATCCAGTGACAAAAGCAAGCACAATAGAAGGGCTGCAGTCAAGATGGTCTCAACATAAAGTGAGACAGTATCTTGAAGAAATAAAAAGGGGGAGGTGGGGAGGGATTGGCAGAATAGCTCCAGTGGTAGAGTGCCTGCTTAGTAAGTGTGAGGCCTTCATTTCTACCACCAGGACTGCCAAAACCTTGTGTTTTTTTTTTATATATATATATTTTTATATAATAAAACCTTATAAACTTCCTTAAAAAAAAAAACCATAGACATTCCAAGGGACTATCTTAACATTTTATAGTCAAATGAAAGAACTGTCCAATAATTATAGTCATTTCTTTTCTTTTTCTCTTTCCTTCTTTCCTTCCTTTCTAGTTCTGAGACCAGGATTCAAACTTGGTACCTGATACTTCAACTCACTGGCTTGCTCTACCAACTGAGCCACACTTCCAAGATGCATTGTACACATCTATATTCCTAGCTACTCAGAAGGCCAAGATTTGAGGATCATGGTTAAAAGCCAGCCCAGGCAGGAAAGTCTGTGAGACTTATTTCTAATTAACTATCAGAAAAGTAGAAGTGACACTCTGGGTCAAAGTGGTGGAGTCTTAAGCAAAAAAGAGCTCAAGGGGCTGGGAAGTTGGCTCAGTGGTAGAGTGCTTGCCTGGCATGCATGAGGCCCTGGATTCAATTCCTCAGCACCACATAAGCAGAAAAGGCAGGAAGTGGTGCTTTGGCTCAAGTGGTAGGGCACCAGCCTTGAGCTGAAGAGCTGAGGGACAGCACTCAGGCCCACAGTTCAGGCCCCACGACTAACCCCCCCCCCAAAAAAAAGAGCTCAGGGATGGCACCCAGGCTCCAAATTCAAGCCCCATAACTCACAGAGGGGAGGGGATGGAGAAGATGCATCGTATACAAAAACTGCTTTGTTAAATAGAAAAAAAATCAATATATTTCCCAAAAGTTAAGAAAAGGGAGGGAAGAGGTGAGTTGTAGGGGTGGGATGACACTGATCAAGATGCATTATATTCATAAACTGCTTTGTTGAATGGCAACTCCTGGTACAGGTACTTAAAAATAATGAAAATATTCAAATAAGAAAGAAAAATTGTAGTCTTTGGGTCAGAAAAATAAAAATAGTAACAGTCTTTACTGAGACAAGTAAGATGCTTGTTTAGAAGGATTAGCATACTTGTACAATTTCCTGGGAAATATCCTATACCTTTCCACCTCCACCAACATCTAATTTCCATTAGGAAAAACAAACAAAAAAAATATTTAAAGGAAGACATCAGTAGTCCACTGTATACATATTTAACAGAACATACAATGGCTTTAAATTCTATAGTTGAAAAACATTGTTTTGCTTTGCTTGAAGAAAGTAAGTTTCAAAAGAGAACTGCCAGGTGGCCTACCAGCCAGTGGGAGTACACGCTGAACAGCCTGGAAGAATGCTAGCCCATGCCCTCAGAGCCTACATACACCAAACTGTATTAAAATGAGCTTCACTGGAATAAGAGAGTAAACAAGTGCAGTTTTCATTTCAGCATTTCTGCTGTTCAAAATGCAAATCTCACTTAAGTCTGGCCATTACCCTTGTTGTCTGGGCCTTCAGCTCTGCCCAGTCTTTCTGTCCATGAAACAACAAAAACAACCCTACCTTGCATCAAGATCATCCACACTGGCAAGGGTGCAAAGTGATGCAGTATTTTGCTAAAAATTTGGAAATGTATATTATAGGTCAAAATATATCATTCATTTTGATTCTCTGACCAGGAAATTCTTTGTCTTTGTGGTCACTATCGTAAGGAAAAATAAGCTAACTCAACAGTAAAGATTCATATAAATCGATACTTAGCATAACTATTCACAAAGGTATAAAAATTAAGAATAAGTGAAATCTGAAAACAATGTAAATATAGTATGCTTTTGAAAAAAGCCATAAGTTACATATCACTTTTATAATTGAAAAATAATATGCTTTTTACTAAAAAAAAAAAAACTGGACATTATCCAGAGGATATGCTTTTCATTATATACTTGGCACATTCTTCTCTTCATAGGAAAAGTTTAAAAATATGCCTTCTTTGAAAGGAACTAATATAATTTCTGTGGGGTTTAGAAGAATCTTATTTTGTTGTAAGCATGCATTAGTGGGTCAGATGATAGCTGTTTGGGTTATTTTCTTTCACATGAAGAAAATGTCTACCACCCTCTCCACTATAAATATGAAAAATCTGGCAGTAGTCCAGCCTTAATCCCCTTCAGCAAACTTAGAACTGGATCTGAGCTGGTAATTGGCAAGATCATATTATTTGATATTGCAGACTTTTTGAACATATTTATTCTGTTTGATTCCCAATGTCTGCCATAGAGCAGGCAATGGACAAGTAATTAATTTGCTAAATTCACTGCTGAGAAAAGTGAATGACTCAGATTTTCCTACAAATGTGCTAGGTCAGGTGGAAGGAGGCCTTTACCACTGAGAACACATCAGACGATCACACTGTTGAAATGAAATGATGTTTAACCTACATTACTATTCTATATCAAGGATAAACATAGATGGTAAACATAAAGCAACTGGCACAAGGATCAATGTTAGTTCTAGGAGAGAATGAGGGCCTGTGAGGGGTAGGTTTCAAAGCCCATTCGTATAGGACCA